ATACTTTTTAATAAACTTAAATAAGTATCCTATACAGGGCTACTTAGATGTGAATGTGTTAATCGTAACATTTCGTTTATAGCTTGTGACATGCTTTAATGTTTGTTTTTTTGTATTTTGTAATTTGGGTTCTGCTCGCCACAATATTATTGTTAAAATTAACACACATTCATTCAGATCAATATTATTAGCGAACATTAAGTGCATTGACGGTTTTTCTAGGATTTATTTTATTCTATAATTGCGAACAAGCCGATTTGTAGCTTCAAGAGATATCAATCACAGACATGCTTTTACGATGATTGCGACACGTTTTTTACTTTCATCAGATTTTTGCTTAAGTCCATTAACTATTGTTGATGATGACAATAGAATTCCGGTTCGATCCATGTTCACAAAGCTGTGACGACCTTTACTTTATTGTTGTTCGCTTTAGAACATTTTAACTGGACATCCTAAATCGAACATATACTATTACAAGACTAAGACGTACTAAATCGATACATCAAATGATTGAATTATAGCTTTATGTATTTATGTTCAGGCTATAAACCAACTTACTTAGCATTAAATAAATTACACTGCATTTGCGTATAATATGGAAACTAAATAAAAAATATATCATCCTGTGAACAGTTTGACCCCGGCACCGTATATAATTGAGTTAGTACATTATTATGCATCTTTAATATGCACATGTACACACTCAATCATGTCACCCTCTAATATCACGTTCGCAAGTTATTAAAAAGCACAATTATACTATACGCACGACATTTTATGGGCAAAATCTAGTTTTTATTGTATTTATACTCATTCCCATCCTTTGCTCTATTTATCAGTGTGAAATTATTGATCTTCATTATTTCTTTGTTTCTGGGTTCATGCGTTTGTAAATAATAAACGACTTAATTTTCGCTGCTAGAAATGATCGTGGTTTGACAATGTCATGGTATTCGTGAAGACATTTTTTTAGTGATTTTTGCTTGTTCGTAAATTTTATATTCGCGGAAATTTGTCTCTAGCGAAATAAAAACGGTTTACACTATACGCAGTGAGTAAACGTAAACCACAGGCAGTACTAGCAACAAAACTCGACTATCCGTTATAGCATTATTTGGGTCACAAATAAAAGATTTTAAATCAGTTGTTTCACTGTGGCCAGTCTCGTAAAACTGACAACAGTACACGAATCAACAATTGTCACGCGGCGTTTTTTCGTGTCAATTCGTCGTACATAAACCAAAATGTATTAATTTTCCGTCTTACAATGTACAACCAGACACTATACAACGTGGATAATTCAATTATAATAATAAAAAAATCACACTGTGACATAGTAATGATGACCAAAGCACTGCATTCCCCCTAACTGTTATTATCTATAAAAGTAGAAGAAGAACATTCCCGTTGCCAATCATCTATTCGGTTTAAGCATTGGTTTACATAGCTTTGTCCATCATGTTCCGTAAACATTATGCCATACGTTTATACAGAAACAAAAACATGCACACAATTATAATCGCGTACTAAGATTTGAATACTTATACTTGGGTAAGTTTGGCTAAATTGATATAAATGGTATTTCCACTACTTATATGCAAATGAGCACTTCTCAAAAACATGATCAAGTCATGTTTAATTTGGTGTTTATGTATATGTATCACACGGGTTATCGTCATATATAGTTTTAAAATATTTTTGTAATGCATATCATAGAACTTCTGGTATTATAGTAACATAACTGTGAATCTATAGGTTTGCGACGGTTACGGTGTGTCTGGCCTACCGATCGTTTCATTGAAGAAATGCAAATGTTGTATTTAATGACTGATATGCCGAACACAGTCACGAGTAACGTCCGCTAACTGTCACAGTCACGTGATAACTTGACAGTCTGACGATATCAATCATAGATTGTGGAGGAGAGCCACATTGTATCTATTAGTTTGGCAATACACATCTGACATAAAACACTATAAAACGCCACGTGCTTTTCATATATAGAGACACGTCATTCACTGTTCGACATTAAATTGCCGAAATCCTCATCCGTTATTAATTCGCTACGTAGTCAATTCGCAATGTTTATTCACTTAACTGAATGACACAGTTTTCACATGGTACGCAATTTGTCAGCCTCTGCAAAACACGGTATCTACAATCAGTAATATTAGCATTGACTCGATGAGCATTAACAAACTGACTGTTTTGTGTCCAATATAATCGACAAAACAAAACATGATTGAAAATTATGAGATATTCATGCGCTTTAATTTACTCTCAATAAGGGGTAGTTATTTTATTTGTGTGGGAATTTGTTGTGAGTTATTTGATTTGTCGGGTAAAGTCATATTGTCGTTACACTCACAATCTTTTGCTGTGATTGTCCGTTTTCAGTTCTCTGTTGCTGATAATGTTGCATACTTAATTTACTTGCAGAAAGGAACTTTGTATCAACCGCTTCTGGTTGTTCATTCATCCTATATTACCAACATTTCCACAAGTTTGATATCGAATGATATTCCAGAAAAATGATATCGAGCAAACGAAGTGTGCATTGAACCCGAGGGTACACAGCTGGATTTCGGGTGAGGAAATTCTGCAGCCTGTTAAAAACTTGACTAAAAAGATCGATATTAAGGGCGCTCTTTGGCCCTAAATTTGGCGCTTTTCGGGGTATTAAATTTGTTATTGTTGAACTGTTATACAAATAAAGCAACATAACACACGATGCTTTGTAACGCACTACCTTACATCTGTGGGAGTAATATACAATTCACAACACACAACAACCTCTCCAATCGAGAAAACAAACGCGAATCTTCTGTAAGGTTTGGTTTGTTCCATAATCAATTTATTCTCCAAGCAAATAAATTCATTCTTGTTGTCCAACACCCCGGTTTCTTGAAAATATGCGCATTGCTATAGTTATAGTGATATGTTTAATGATTTATCGAGAATATCTTTGCGATAAACACAACCTGGAGAATTACTATTTTATCCAACCCTCATTTCATTAAAGGCAATGCAATTTATACTCCATCGTCACCATTATGCATATCAGTCATATAGGTAACAACAATGCATTTAAGTTTACCCTAATTCAATGCTACATCGGGTCAGACACTGGAATATTTTCTTTTAAACACATTGTGATGGTTATAATCATAGATGAAAACTACGTACGCATACGGCCCCGATGTATGTTAGAACGCTTTACTCTTCGTTTAGCAAACTTTCTATGAATATTCACTGAGAAGTATTCGACACAACAGTACTCCGAGTCTGGATTTGGCATGCATTCCATTATGGGATGTGAATACCGGTGTGATTAAGTATGTGTGTGATAGACTGAATCTAAGCTAACGATATTTTATTTTCGTTTCGTTTGTTCATACGCTTGAAAATGTATAAAAGTTTCGCATAGATTATTGACAATACTGATTTTACTTTTTCACAAACAAGAACAATTTGGAAGTGGGTACTTTATGTTTCATTCATTTACTGTTTGGTTTATTTGAAATTTCATTGCAAACTCGAAACAGAATTATATGAATGAGACTTTGGAACTTTCAATTGAAATAATAACGTGTTACATGTGGAAACGACCTCAAAAGTTATAATTATAGAACCAGCGCGTGATAACTGAGGATGAAAGGTTTTTATGTAAGATTGCTAATGAGGATACTGTCACGGGTGATGATTGGATTGAATGTGAAACCGCGAAATGACAGTATACGTACTGTAAACGTGTTCTTTACTTTTTCTGACATGTTGTGTCGTCATATGACGACATATATTCTCCATCTAATTGCATATACGAGGGCATGACACCCGCTTTGTCAACTTTTGTGATGACGAATGGCAATTGTATTCAAGAATTCCAACATGCCGTTATGCTGATTTGTATATTCATTTATCTTATTTATTTCGAATTACTTCGAGAGCCGTGATCATTTACGGAAGACTTTTGGCAATTGTGAACACATTAAGTACTTAGAATATACCAAACTATTCAAAATGTACACGAAAGAAATCAGTGATAAAAACGTGTCAATTATTTCCTTTAAAAGAAACGAGAATACAATTACAACCTTTAAAAAAAGAACCTATAATGCAATTACATTTGTTGGAATTCTAATGAATAAACTGTCACGTACATGATTTACTCTGCCCAAATGTTCGTGACTACGATGTGATGAGCTGACAATCAAGGAACATACAAACTAAACAGGGGAATCAGTAACAATGACATTAAATTTGGAATTGAAACATTCATATAAAAATACTGTATAAGAAATTTTTCCTCCAAGTTTTTAAAGTTTTCAGATGATATCAATTGTGTAGAGAAATAATTGATGCTGGCTGGCAGCATATTAGTTTACAGGATCAGCAAAACTAACTTGATATGAGCTTTAGCACTGGGACATGGTCGCAACACACTACCAACAACAAGTTATTGAGCGGTCTTACATCTTTTCAAATTTTATAGTGAGTGGCTGGAATGTTTTCATCTATAAAAATATCTCCCAGAATATCCAAACCTTTTAAGAAAGTGGAATATGGATAACAGATCAATAACACGTGTAATGACATCTGTGTCGATAACACGTAATTCAGTTCACGCGTACACAACTACACATTGATCAAAAAAATTGCATCGATATGTGTAGTAGTCGATCGCGTCTCTCTGCTGTTGTCAATTTTAGACATTACAAAATGAAATACTAGTAGATTGCGTGTTTTTTCTCGTGCTAACAATTTTAGAATGAATATTAACAAATTATGCTTACCATATTAAATAAAATATAATTAAATAGAGTTTTATTGTTCGTAGACAAAAATATATCAAAGCGGTACATTTTTAATGCGAAGTATTGTGTGATTTTATGTCCTACGTACCGCATGTCGTGTATTGATCACGTGATTTCATTCTACTTTCAGTTTACTGCCACAACGACGTATAACTCTCCGCCGTCTACATCTTGCAAGGGATCATGGAGGTAAACAACAGTGGTAATCTCAACTCTACGTTGAATTTGACGCTCACGTGGAAAGAGGATGGTCACCGCGGGGAGGCAGACTACTTTAGCCCCTTTCTCATACTGTATCTTGTCGTGCAAATCGGCATGATGGTTGTCGGCAACTTCGGCAATTTTCTGGTTATTTCCGCCGTGTTACTTCGGGGCAACCTGTTCACCGCCGGCAATGTGTTCATTATCAACCTGGCCGTCGCCGACATGACAGTCACTTTAGTCGTCAATACTTTCAACGTCATCGGCATCATCCGCACGCAGCGTTTCTTTTTGGAAAACGTCCCCCTGTGTGACATCGTCGGGGCGATATGCATGGTCAGCTGCACCTGCTCGCTCTGGAGTATCATGGGGATTAGCGTCAACCGTTTCATTTATATCTGCTATAACGATCTATATAAGCATCTCTATAATAAACAGAATACTTTGATAATGGTGGCGTGTTTGTGGATTGCTTGTGTACTAATGGACCTACCGAATTTCTTGGGATGGGGTGGCCATGCCTATGACTCCAAAAGCATGGTGTGTACCTACGACCGAACAGCAGACTACGGTTATACTATTTTCTTCATCTTGATGGCGATTTGCTTTCCTATCGTCGTGGTGGCACTGTCCTATACAAGCGTCTATATATTCGTTCGACGTCAGAAAAAACGAGTCATGGAGAGAATGGCGTCGAGCGCCGCTGACTCCACGAAAAAATTTAAGAAAACAGACATGCAACTCATAAAGACACTGTTCACCATCTTTGTCGTGTTTCTCGTCTGTTGGGGGCCATATGCCATAATCGTTCTCGTCGACTACAAAGACCGCCTCCCTGCTATAGTACATTCTTGTGTCATTATTCTGGCCCATGGCAATAGCAGCTTAAACAGCGTCCTCTACGGTATACTTAATAAACAGTTCCGGAAATCGTACAAAAAGGTGCTGAAGCGAATGTGTTGTTGGGTGAACGCCCAAAATGACATTGGGATTGACGACTCGCAGACTGCAAATGATACTGTCAGCTGGGCCAATAATACCAATGTATTTATTGTTCAAGTGAAAAACACCGGCTTCTCCAACTGAGTGAGATCGGCCAGTCGTCAGACACCGGACGAGAACAAATGCGTAACTGAGCGCGACTTGCTCTGTGAGACATACCTCCCTTTGACAGGCGTTTTGATCATTATTTTTTTCAATTTTTCATCATTATATGGTCAATTTAATTGTGTTACTAATATATAATCATTTTTATCTTTTCGCCATTATTTGATCATTATATGGACGTTTGGTTTTCAGCATTATATGAATCCTTTCCAGCTTATTAAAGGGCGGTAGTCGTCGCGCCAAGCATGCGCAAGATATATGGGTCTCATATAAACAAAGATGGCCACTTTGGCTGTTGCGCAGTTCAACGAGAACAAACTGAGACGTTACAGAGCTTTAATTAGGAATTTTCAGGTGATTGGAATGTATCGAAGGAATCACCAGCGGTAATTAGTGCAAGTCGCATCCTGGTCGAACCTCATACTTGTGATTTATATTAGAAGAGCGCATTGGATTGTGGGAAAAACAAAGTTTATCAACACAAATGTCGCACATGCGCAGCGCGACGACTGCCGACCTTTAAGATGACTTATAAGAGAAAATTAACCTCAATTTCACTTGGTAAATTGGATTCTTGTTCACTCCCCATTGAATTCCTTTGAGATTAAGACCAATTGCATCTTACAATAAATGAATATTAGTAAATTTAGCACCAATCCACAAGTCGCAGAGAGCTGCTTGTACGCTCACGGTAGACTGAGAAAGATCGACATGGGCAGTTTAACTACTTGGCACAGTTATGCTGGTGTATATACCAAAAGAGTGAAACGTTCTTTACAGCAAGTCTTAGAAGTATTGGGGCAGCCAATTTGCAAACTCGCTAGCGAATTGGATAACTGCTTTGGTTTTGACTGAACGGTTGGCTTTCGAATCTCGCTGGCGCCGTCCTGTGGTCACGCCCACTCTTGGTGAATCTATATAACAGTAGGGGATCGCCATACTTTAGTTGGATGGCGATTTCGCTTTCAAATATACAAGCGCAAGTGTTCTATTTTCTTCGTGTAATGAGGTGTTCGTATACAAGGGATTGTTCACGCAAAAACGATGAATGAAGTCGAATTTTATTAGCTGTTCGTTTAATCACAGGGAGCCCAGGAACTATGGTCAACTGTAGGCACTCCCTATGAACTGGGGGGGGGGGGAGGGTATCGGCTGGTATCTAGTGTAAGAAATAGGCAAGGGATGAAGATTCCAGCCAGCTCATATTTTTTTAAACTGGAAAAAGCAGACGAACAGAATGAAAAATAAAAGCTATAAAAATACCGGTTTGCCCGAACGCACGGCACAGTTGGAGGCGTGGCCATTCA